GAATAATTCATGTCACTTCAGTTATCTCTGGAAGTAAATATTTTTATCTTGAAGTTGTTAGATAAGTGCCTCAAAAAGCCCCTTCCCCAGAAAGCCCCTTCCTGCTCTTAAAGTTACAACTCCTTTCCAAGCACAAGGAATGGACCGCTTACCTCATCACCCTATTCCAATTACCCGCTGCCCACCCCTAACTGCTCTTTCCCCCTTTCCCCCGGAGCAGTAACTCCTTATTGGTTATCCCACCATCCCATCACTGTTCTGAGTCTTCTCTATATAAGGATACATTTCTCCTCTCTCTCTTTCTCTCCCCCTTCTCTCTTCCCTTCTCCATTCTCTCCTCTTTTCTCTTTTTTTCTCTCCTTCTTGGTGTTGCTCTGCAGCCTCCCTCCCCCACCAATAAAGACCTTTCATACAAGCCTTGGTGGTCTTTGAGATCTTTGCTGCTTGGTAGAGTGCCTCCCTTTCAGAAGTGATTTTTATCTTGAAGTGATCCTCTGCTTCCCTCCACCCTTTTATATGGATCATGAGTCTGTCTGCACAAAGTGTTGTGTTAATTGCTTTGATGCCTTAGGAATAGTCTGGCTGTTGTGCATGTCGTTTGGACAACTCTTTGTGTCAATTTTAGTTTTCAGGATTATCAGCAGAAATTTTTCATGGAGTCTTTTCACCAGATCACTGGGATGGGAAATAGCAGGATCTTTTTTGATGTTATGGCCTACAGTATATGTGGGGGAAAAAAGACTATGAACTATTTAAGAGGAGTAAGGTTGTATGATATGAATTCCTGGTCTGCTGTGCTTTCCATCATATACTAAACCTCCTTTTGGAGATCAGTATGAAGAAATACTACAAAAAGAGAATGTACTATCCACACTGGGCTTACTGTAGAAATATTTTCCTTCATACCTTTCTTATTTTCTAATACTTGGAATTTATAAGTAAGCTTAACAATAAAATCTCAGTATCCTGAATTGCCACACATTAGCCTGCACGTTAATTCATTCTTTGGGAAGTCTTTTAGTTCTTTAATAATAAAAGTTAACTTTTTACTACCCAAATTTTTTACTTGAGTTTTTCACACTTCTAGTGCTTTTTTTCCTGACTCATGCTATATATGTCTGGTAGTAATATATTAGATAAGCACCCCCTGCCCCCCTTCCCAGAGAGTATGCAGAATTTAGAAGTCTTTTCCCTATATCAAATTGTTACTTATGATTTGTATCAATGTTGTGCATTTCTTAATATTCCCTTAAGAAAAAAGTTACTATTAGCTACTCTTTGCCATGTTATTTTTTAATTATACAGAAAAATTGACTTATATTTCTTTTCATGTACATAGTTTTATGAATTTTAACATTATATATAGACTTTTGTAGTCACCACTATAGTAAGCTATAGAATTGTTTTACCATCCCAGAAAATGTCTTCATGCTATCCCTTTATAGTCATATGCTCACCCTACCTGCAACTCCTGGACACCTATGATCTGTTGTTCATTACTATAGTTTTGACTTTTGGTAACTTTTGGTGATTTCTAAATAAATGGAATCATACTGTATGTCACTCCGCAGAGCATAATGTTTTCACCTAGCATAATGTCTTCCCTAAAAATAATGTCTTTGAAATTAATCCAAGTTCTTGCATAAATCATTAGATTAATAGTTGGTTCTGTTTTACTCCTTATTAATAGTGCACTGTGTGGCTGTATCACAGTTTGTTTTATACGTCTAGCCACTGAAGGATATTTGAGTTGTTTCCATCTTTTGGCTATCACACCTAACTTGTGAACATTAGTGTACAGATTTTTTTTTTCAGGTTTTTTTTTTTTTGGCTGGGGCTGGGTTTGAACCTGCCACCTCCGACATATGCGGCTGGCGCCCTACTCCTTTGAGCCACAGGCACCGCCCTGGTATACAGATTTTTGATTGAACATTAGTTTTCATTTTGTAAAATAAATGACCAGGAGTACATTTGTTGAGTGTTATGGTAATGTATATGTTTAACTATATTAGACTGCCAAATGATTTTCCAGAGAGGCTATGCTATTCTGCATTCCTGCCAGCAATGTGAGAGGTTCAATTCTGCATCCTTACTGGCACTAAATAATGTCAATAGTTTTTACTTTAGCCATTCTGGTAGGTATATAGTGGTATCTCATTGTGCTTTTGACATATATTTCTTAATAATGTTGAACATTTTTATTTGTGCGCATTTGCCAGCCCTATATACTCTTTGGGGAAAAAAATGATGAAAGGCTTTCTAATTATGACAAGGAAAAAAATAACAAAAATAACTAATAATTTTGGTTATGTAAAAAAATCACATAATACATATAATTAAAATTCATACTGGTAAAATTATTGTAAGAAATGATATGAGGTCAAAAATAATAACTTAAAAAAGCTTCTATGTTAAAATGAAACTAGCTGAGCATGGTGGCTCACACCTATAATCCCAGCTACTTGGAAGGCTGAGGTAGGCAAATTGCTTTAACCTGAGCAACTTAAGAGACCCTGTTTCTATAAAAAATATAAAAAAACTAGCTGTGCTTGGTGGTGGCACACACTTGTAGGCTCAGCTATTAGGGAGGCTGAACAAGACAACGTCTCTTAAAAAAGAAAAAGGAACTAGAGATCTTATGTACAACATTGTGCTTATTAAGAAGGTAGATCTTAATGTTATTATTTTTTACCACAATAAAAAGAATGAACCAAGACCAGGCACAGTGGCTCATACCTATAATCTCAGCACTTTTGGAGGGTGAGGTAGGAGAACTGCTTGAGGTCAGGATTTTAAGGACAGGATTTTGAGACCAGCCCAGGCAATACAGTAAAATCCTCACCTCTACAAGAAAATTAAAAAATTAGTTGGGTGTGGTGGTACACTCCTGTAGCCCCTGTTACTTAGGGGGCTGGGGCAGAGGGATCACTTGAATCCAGAAGTTCCATGTTGCAGTTAGCTATGATGACATCACTGTACTTTAACCCCAGTAACAAAGGGAAAGTTGCCACCCCCCCAAAAAACCCAAAACAGAAACTAACACAACAAAAAGGGAAAACATAAGAAAAGGTAATTTTATATAATAAAATAAATAATAATCTAAAATAACATAATAATTTGAGATATAATGTATAAAGATATAAAATAGTAACCATTTGAAAACCACCAAAATGAAAGCTATCAAATCGTCATAATTTCAATTGTCACTGTTTTGCAAAAAGATATTTATTCAGTACATAAGCGTTCTGTTAGACAGAGGGACTTTTTTTTTTTTTTAGAGACAGAGTCTCACTTTGTTGCCCTTGGTAGAGTGCCATGGCATCACAGATCACAGCAACCTCCAGCTCTTGGGCTTAGGTGAGTCTCTTGCCTCAGCCTCCCAAGTAGCTGGGACTACAGGTGCCCGCCGCAACACCCAGCTACTTCTTTGTTGCAGTTTGGCTGGGGCCAGGCTTGAACCTGTCACCCTCAGTATATGGGGCCTGGGCCTTACTCACTGAGCCACAGGCGCTACCCCAACAGAGGGACTTAAAATCAAATATATTCCTGATTTAATGGGAAGACAAATAAATATAGTTGGTCTATAATGACTTAATAATTGGTTTGATAAAGTATATAGCATCAAATTGGTTTGATAAAGTATATAGGGTCAGCACCCACAGCTCAGGGGTTAAGGTGCTGGCCACATGCACCGGGGCTGATAGTTTGAACCTAGCCAGGGCCTGCTAAACAATGACAACAATAACAACAACAAAAATAGCCGTGCGTTGTAGTGGATGCCTGTAGTCCTAGCTTCTTAGGAGGCTAAGGCAAGAGTATCACTTAAGCCCAAGAGTTTAAAGTTGCTATGAGCTGTGACAGCACAGCACCAAGGGTGACTTTGTCTCAAAAAAAAAAAAGCATATAGCACATACAGGGTCAAGAGTTGAAGGGCAAGAAGAGGGCATCACATGTTGCCCAAAAAGAGGGATAAAGTGCTTCTGTTTCCTCATCTGTAAATTGAGCTGTCTGCCCCATCAAACCTGCACTACCTCCCCTTCAGTTACTTCTGTGGATCATGGTGGTTCAGTTCTAGAGAGTAAAATAAACTCTTCTTGGAGAGACTAGAGCTGGATGTCCTCGGAGAGACATCCTTTGCCAGGTAAAATACAGGATAACCAGTTATTGCATGAGACACATTCATATTAAAAACTATTCACTATTTATCTGCAATTAAACTTAGCAGGGCATCTTTATTTTTATTTGCTGAATCTGGAGACTCTATGCACATGTCACCTGATTTCTAACATCACAGACGAGGACCTGAAGACTAGAGAGGAAAACCGAGTGAGTAGTAGTGTCAGGCTAAAAGCCACATCTGGCAGTGATCTCTGCAGAACCAACCAGCAGATGAAATCAGAGCAACTCCTTAGAGATTCTGAGTCACCAGGCATCTCATTAGCAAAGCCTTCCTTTAAGGACCCAGCATAGGGCAGGGATGAAGCATTATAGCTGAGGAATATAATGTTATGTTTGTCCAGGTGGGTGGACTCGACAGAACTCAGTTCCAACCCTATCTGGGGAGGCTGGGAAAGCCCGCTAGGCTCTCTGGGAGGCTTCCTCACTGAATATTTAGGGAAGAGAGTGATGGCAAGGAAGGCTCTGCCAGGCAGGCAGTATATTAGTTTTCTTCCTTCCTTAGAAAAGGCACCTTCTTTTTGCAGCAGGATTAGAATTCCTGGAATTTCAGCCAAAGGGACCATGTTGGGAAGTGATGCTGCAAGAATGCTGCTGAGCCCTGCCTGGGGCACACGGGGCCCTCTGTCAAAAACTAACTGACCATGTATGTATGGGTCTATTTCTAGGCACCCTATGCTGTTCCTTTTATGTATGTATCTATCCTTTCTTCAATATCACACTGTCTTGACTACTGTTTACAGCCTTAAAATCAGCTGTACATCTTTTCTGTTTTTTCAAAATTATTTTAGTTCTTTTGTCTTTCCATAAAAATCTTAGAATTAGTGCTTTCTTTGGCAGCACATATACTAAAATTGGAACGATATAGAGATGTATGATCCCTGCGCAAGGATGACACGCAGATTCGTGAAGCGTTCCATATTTAAAAAAAAAATTTTATGATCAAGTGGTTAGTTTCTATAAAACATTCTACTGAGATTTTAGCCAGAACTGTGTTAAATCTATAGATCAGTTTAGGGAGAACTGCCATCTTAACAATACTAATTCTTTCGATTTATGAGCATGATATATTTTCATTCCCGAAGTTCCTTTTTGATGTTTTTCATTAATTTTTATAAAGAATTTCTTTGGGCTGATTTACACAGACATTTGTCACTGACCTGTGTTCCTGAGCTATGAATATGAGTGATAAATAAACTATTAATAAATTTAAAAAAAATCTCGGTTTTTCCATTAAAGAAAACCACTGTTAACAGTTATTATCCAAAATTGAAGATTATTATACATATAGTGTATTTTGATAAGTATAGATCTTATCATCCTTTAAAATTACATACACTGATCTCCTTGTCTTTTTCATTCAGTGTATCATTAAATGTCTTCTCACACAGAATAATATTGCATAAATAATACCTACTTCATTATTTTATTCATAACTCCATAGAACTATAGAGAATCACAACTATCCCACTGCATTTAACTGGTTTTCTACTGATGAATATTTTAAGTTAAATTTTCATAAAAACGCTACAATTAATACATTTGTACCTACATCTTTGCATATATATCCAGGTATATATCTGCACTCTTAATTCCTAGATGCAAATGCTCAGATGAAGGGTATATCTACTTTCAATTTTGATAAAGAGTAGCAAATAATTGTCTAAAGGAATTAATACTAACCTATTCTCACAATAGTATTTAAGAGAGTTATGTATTATTAAAACAAACAAAAAAAACCTTTTTAAGAGCTTCTGATGCCACAGATGGTTGAGAATTAGTAAAACAAAGCCTAGATTGCAGAAAAGGAAAAACTGAGGTTTCTGATGTGATCAATAAGAGAAAATATAAGGTATTAAACAAGGTAGGATATGGTAGTAGGGCTGGAACAGTAAACAAGTATTAGTTTAGGTATTAAACAAGGTAAGGACATGATAGTAGGGCTGGAACAGTAATGAGAAGAGACATTCAGGAGGTATAATTTATAATAAAAATCAAAAGCTTTGTGAGCTAAAGAATTGCTTTCTAGTACACCATTATATCTTTAGGACCTGGCCTTCAAATACATTTTTTATAAATAATGACTAGGTACAAACAAAAATAAATAAAATGACTAGATGGGGTAGCATCTTGTATGCGTGCATAATGTACTGGTGGTGAAGAAAAGGGAGGCATCAACCCTAATTCCTATCTTTTTCACTTAAGGACTTAAGAGTCTAGGTGGACAGATAATGGATAGAGTAGTCTTGAAAGGTTTTGATATGGCAGACTAAGGAATACTCAGAAGTGGGTAAATGAAACAATTCTAAGCCAGTCAGAGAAATAAGTGCTTGTTTTCTCATTCATTCATTCATCCACTCATTCATTTAGAGAGAGTCTCACTCAGTCACCCTGGGTAGAGTGTCATGGTATCTATAGGTCACAGCAATCAAAATCAAATTCTAGGGCTCAAACTCCTGAGCACAGGTGATCTACCCCCCTCAGATTCCCAGAGTATTAAGATTATAGGTGTGCACTTGGCCTGTGTGTAGTTTTCCAAGGACAGTACGACTTTCTCAAATTGAACAATAAGCCATAATCTATCCAAAAACAATAACCCAACTAAAGTTAAACCCACCCTCTACATTATGTTCAGTCTTTTTAAGCGCCAGCATCTAGTCTCTTTCCACAATTGGCACTGAAACAACACAAAAGATATCTGGGAAAAAAGGTAAATACAAAATAAGAATCTGACAGGAATGCGGCAAACATCAGAAGGCATGAGTAAAGAGTGGAAGAGTAGCCTGAGCTAGCTATCATAGGTTAAAAATTCATGGTGAGGGAGGAGCATAAGGAGTTCCTGAAACATATTCTTATGCTATAAAAGATGGAACTGCTCAAAACATACCTAAAGCAGTGGTCCCCAATGTTTTTGGCACCAGGGACCAGTTTCATGAAAGATAATTTTTCTGTGGAAGGGGTGGAGAAGTGGGGGTGGTTAGGAAGAGCTCAGGCAGAGATGCAAGTAAGCTCAGACAGTGATGCCAGGATGCGCAGGGGCTGGTGTGAAGTTGCTTAGCTTAATCATCCACAGCTCACCACCTGCTGTGTGAACCAGTTCCTGAGTTTCAAGGAAGAAAACTTTTCCACAGAAGACAATTTTTCCATGGACTGGGAAGGGGACAAGCAGAGCTCTGTGGCCAGAGACTTGCAGTGGTCTGAGGCCCAAAGTTTGGGGAACACAGAGCTAAAGCACACAGGAGTTGGTTCAAAAGCAGCTTGTGCTGGCCAAATCTGGCACACAGTATGAGTGCCAAAATAAATAAGAGACCTGAAGTATAATTAGTTGAATAAAATAGAAATATATTAGGAATCTACAAGTCTGTTAAGATATTCAATTTTTAAAAATGAACTTAAAACTATAAAAAGCAAATGAGTAAATGAAAAGTTTTTCCCTACTGCAGAATGCCAATTAAGAAAAACAGCACAAATAATAGTCAGAAAAATCATCATTTTAGTCATAATTTTGTGACCATCATAGTAATTACTGAGTCAAGCAAGGATCTTAAGTGGATACTAAAACTATTATGTCAAAGTTTGAAAAGAAAAAAGATTATGTACATACTTTTAAAGGATCTCCTTGCAGATAACTTATTAATTAAAAAGGACATTGGTAACTATATGGTAAGAAACTTGGCAGACCTCACCTTCTTTAAGTGATCAAAATTAAAGTTAACAGCATCAATAATGAATTGGCATTATGTTCATCCTGATGTGATACATTGAGAACAAAACATCATTTATGTATTCCTACAAAAGTGTATAATCCAAACTTAAACATTCAGAACCTCTGACAAAACTCAATTAAGAACATTCTATAAGTTGGGCATGGTGGCTCTTGCCTATAATCTTAGCACTCTGGGAGGCCGAGGTGGGTGGATCTCTTAAGCCCAGGATTCAGGACCAGCCTAAGCAAGAGCAAGATACTGTCTCTACTAAAAATAGAAAAATTAGCTGGGCATTGTGGTAGGTGCCTGTAGACCCAGCTACATGAGAGACTGAGGCAAGAGGATAGCTAGAACCCAGGAGTTTGAGGTTGCTGTGAGCTATGAAGCCACAGCACTCTATGTAGGGCTATGAGACTCTGTCTCAAAAATTGCCTGAGCTCACCAGTTCTAGACCAGCCTGAGCCAGGGCAAGATCTCACCTCTAAAAAGAAAAAATAGCCAAGCATTGTGGTGGGTGCCTATAGTCTTAGTTACTTGGGAGGCTGAGGCAAGAGAATCACTTGAACCCAAGAGTTTGAGATTGCTGTGAACTGTGATGCCAGAACACTCTACTGAGGGCTACATAGTGAGACTCTGTCTCAAAAAACAAACAAAAACCCCAAACAGGAGAGGTGCCTGTAGCTCAAAGGTGTAGGGCGCCATATGCTGCAGGAGGTGGGTTCAAACCCTGCCCTGGCCAAACAAACAAACAAACAAACAAAACTGCAAAAACAAAACAAAAAAACCCAAACAAACAATTACATGCAAAATGTTATGCTGGATTGGAAACTAGGCTTAGAAAAATTGTTATAAAAATATATAACACTGTTATAAAATATTAATATTTACATATGTATATCAATACATGTAATATATAGACAGAGTGAGCAAGTATGCAAATGTGAAAAACACTAACAATTGATAAAGCAAGTGAAGGGAATAAGTTCATTTTCTATTATTATAAGTTCTATAATTTGACCTTTAAAACATAAAATAGATAAGTTCTTTCAAACTTTGGCTTACTACATATTCTAAAGCTATAATAGTTAAAGTAGTACTGGAAAAGAAAAGATAGATCACTGAAATAAATACACACACACACACACACACACACACACACAGAGGTATATCTTAGGGATACTGTAGGTTCAGTTCCAGGCCACCACAAAATAACAGAGATTGGAATGAAGCAAGTCACACAAATATTTTGGTTTCCTAGGGTATAAAAAGTGCACTATACTATAGTCTTTTAAATGTGCTAAAGCATTATATCCAAAAAACCCCAATATATATACCTTAAGTAAAAAGTACTTTATTGCTAAAAAATGCTACTGATCATCTGACCCTTCAGTGACTCGTAGCATTTTTGCTGGTGGAGGGTCTTGCCTTGATGTTCATGGCTGATGAAGGCTGGGGTAGCTGTGGCAATTTCTTAAAATAAAATGACAGTAAGGTATGTTGCATTGGTTAACTCTTCCTTTCACAAAAAACTTCTCTGTAGCAAGCCATGCTGTTTTCCTACAAGAGACCTTTTGGCAAACCCTCTTCAAACCCCGCAGCTGCTTTATTAACTATGTTTGTGTAACATTCTAAATCATTTGTTACCATTTCAATAATGTTCACAGCATCTTCACCAGGAATAGATTCCATCTCAAGAAACCACTTTGCTCATCCTTAGGAAGTGACTTCTCATTTATTAAAGTCTGATCAAAGAGATTGTAGCAATTCATTTACATATTCAGGCTCCATCTCTAATTCTAGTTCTCTTGCTATTTATACCACACCTGCAGTTACTTTCTCCACTGAACTCTGGAACCCCTCAAAGTCGTCCATGACTAGAATCAGCTTCTTCTAAACTCCTATTAAGGCTGATATTTTGACCTCCTCCTATGAATTGTGAGTAAATGGCATCTAAAATGGTGAATCCTTTCCAGAAGGTTCTCAATTTACTTTACCCAGATCTATGATAGGAATCACTATGGTAGATATAGGCTTATCAAATGTTTTTCCTAAATAATAAGACTTAAAAGTAGAAATAACTCTTTGATTTATGGGTTTCAGAATGAATGCTGTGCTAGTAGGGATGAAAACAAGATTAATTGCCCTGTGTTATTTTCATCAGTGCTCTTCAGTAACCTGGTAAATGTCAATAAGAAGCAATGTTTGGACAGAAATCCTTT